AATGCTACTGCTATCACTTCTCAGTGCTTCTGATTTTAATCCTCTCTGCATATCAGCAATGACTGACCAAAATCACCAACACCAGCAATTTTCAACCTCTTCTTCAGAGGCAGATGTGACAAATGTGTCCATACATGTGATACACTCCTATGGACACATCCAGAATTACGTGTAACACCAGGAGCTCAGCCTACAATCTTCAACCTAAGAAGTCATGTTGAAAAGAAAATAATTATGTAGATATCCTTATATTTATTCTAATTAGTTTTTTAAAAAATGAATCACCAGCAAACTTTGGTATTTTATCAGCTAGAAATTATTTGCAACAGACATTTTTTGTTTGGGACATATTTTGACACTTTGGTTGATAAGCACTGCCCTGCTATACCATAAATGTACACCTGAAATCTGAATTCTTGAAGGCTAAGGGTGCCTGACACATAGAACCAGGAAAAGGTAATAAGAGAAAAAACATGGCTATTCTCCACACTGGGCAACGGTGGGATATGACAAACCTGTTACAAAAGTCTAGCATTTCCCTGGAAATAATTAATTTCCTACCTATGCTCTTTAAAGCCACTGACATCCCAGGGAGACTTCATAGCCTGCCTCCAAATTCAAAGGTGTATTCCCTTCTTTAGATGTAGAAGAAAATAACTCTGAACACATTTAAAATGTGAAGAGGCTATGTTATCTCAACCATAATGCATGGTTGACAGCACGGGCTCTGAGACTAGTGGTTCAGAGGTCATTTTGCGTCCCAGGGGACATTTGGCAATATCGGGAGACATTCTTGGTTGTCACAACTCGGGGAGAAAAGTGTTGACGTCTGGTAGGTAGAGGTCCACAGTGAAGAGGACAGCTTCCCCCCGACCCCCAACAGAGAATTATCCAATCCAAGAGGCCAATAGTGCTGAGATTGAGAAACCCTGCTCTCAAGCCAACCTGCCTGGGTTTCAAATCACCTGTTACGTATATAAGTTACTAAACATCTATGTGCTTACTGAGTGTCTTTACCAGTAAAATTAGGATTAAAAACAGTGTCCACCTTCTTGATTTGTTGTGAGAATAAAATAAATGACACAGACAGGAGCTAAGAACAATGTCTGGAAAAAAGCTAGTGTTTAACAAATGTTTACTTTCATTACCATTAGATGCATCGAAAAAGACTGAGAAGAAAAACACCAAAATTTTAAAATAAGTTGTTTCTAGGCGGCCAGACCATGACTGATTTTTATTTTTATTACACTTTTATATTTCTTTATATTTTCCAAACTTTCTAGAACTGTATTTGTATTACCCTAATATCCAAAAACATTTTTTTAAAAAGAATGTAGAGGAAAGAGCTTTACTTTGTGACATAGTGGAAAGAGCACAGAATCAGAAAGATCTGGATTCAGATCCTGGCTTTATTTGTTGTGTGTGACTTCGGGCAGATTAGTTACTCTGAGCTTCAGTTTCCTGATCAGAAACTGGGGCTAATAATGCATATCAGAGAGCTTCCATCAGGATTAAACATGACAGACATCCAGTGCCTTGGAAATATGCTGAATGACAGGCTCCAAGAGATGGGTGCTTTCAAAGTTTGGCCCAGGAAAAGTGACTCTATAAACAGGGAAATATAGTCATGATGGTAACTCCCCTCTTGCTTTTTAAACTGTCCTCTTGGAGAAGCCACCTCCCATCTCAACCCACTGTTTGCCTGGGTTCAGAGGAGAAATTGCATCCACACTTTGGTCCTTCTCTCTATTCTTTCCACCTCCCCACATATACATCCTAGGAAAGGACCTGATAATTCAGCAGGCAGGGCTTACTAGCAGCGGGAAGTTACTAAGAGTGAAAAGCAAGACCCAGGCATCACTTTCACAGGCCCACTGAGGGACATGTCCATTGTCCTTCTTGTTTCTTCTTTCATCCCTAGCCTCCAAGCTGAAAGCACTCTTGGCAAGGCCTCTCCTCCAGAGGAACCGCTCCACTTTCTCTCTATTCTATCTTCTCCTGTTCAGCTGGTAGAGAGGACTGCCCCCTTTCAGTTTTGAGAAGGACGAGTAGGAAGCCCAGAGAGGCTTCCAGATCTAAGCCTCTTGTGTGCACTGGCCTGGCTCATCTGAGAAGGCCGGCAAGCGTGCGGTGGGCAGGCAGCACTGGCCTGGCTGTACTGTGCTTCCAGCAGGGCTGTTTCTTTTCCACCCCTCATTCACTCCAGGTCACACTAAAGACCAGGAGGATGAGTAGACAGGATTCAAGGACCCAAACCATAACCACAAACCCCACTCTTAATGCTCCTTAATGACTTAATCAGATGGAAAAAGAATAGAATAGGTTATATTTGTGTATATTATCAGGAGGGGTGACTATGTTAAGCCAGGTTAGCCTGCTAACTTAAATTCAAATCCTAAGCAACGTTTCAAGATGCCCTGAGACAATCTTTCGTACTCAGGTCCTAATTGCCACGGTGTGGAAAAGGCAGCCTGGCTCAACCCACTCTGACTCTTCATGAAGATCCCATGGCTCTCCAGGGAGGAGTCTTGTGGTCCTACCGGGTGGGCTCTTGGTGAAGTGTTCTAGCGACTGGGAGGCACAGCTGATCAGGGCAGGATTGCCTGGGGCAGGAACTGACCTTCTCACGACATTCACTCTCAACCCAAGGTGAACCATTTCAACACAGGGAGACGGTGCCAGGCAAAACATCAGAGGAAAATGAGACTATCTGGGGTGCCCCCATCTAGATGTAAATAAAAATATCAGGAGAACTTCATTCTAAATATAAATAAAATGTCAGGGGGATTGGTAATAACCAGGAAATAATTTATGGATCCTTCTGGAACTCTAGTCTGCTATTGCTCCAGGGTCTGTCTGACTAGCATATGTACATTTCAGACATAATATTGACTATTGCCAAGTTCTCTCCTACTACACTTTTACCTCCTCACTATCCTCCCCATAAAAGCATGCAGAACAAAATAGGCATGGGCCCCCAGAATGCTGTCAGTCTTGAGTCTTCCCATTCTTCATTCACAAGGGTACATTGAGATGATATCATAAATGGGCTGGGTGCTAAGTGCTAGAAATCCAGAGATGGAAGGAGATGGTCCCTTCTGTCCAGAAGCTGACTTCGGATGACTATAGTAGCTAGCGTTAAGTGTACTTGTTCCAGGGAAATGCTGATTTCAGCGGGGATCAAATCTAAGAACTAAAGTTCAATAAAGTTTAAGGTGTCAAGGGGACTCCTTCCTCTCAAAGTATTCTTCAATTGAAACCGTGAAGGAAACACTTTATATAGTGAGGAATTTCACAAATTTTGGATTCCTACCCCCTTTTCTTCCTCTTTGTATCTCTGACCTAGTAACTTCTCTAAGTTTTCCCACAGCATATAAGAATGAGATCAGTCATCTTTTCTTGTCAAGGGCCAAAAGGGAAACTACACAGACCAAAAGGAGGTAACCCTTATATTTCAGATATTTCCAGAAGTTAAAAAAAATTCCTCTTTTCCCCTTAAAAACCTAAATTAATTTGCAAAAAGAGAGAAATCTATCCCCTATTTTAATGTATGATAATATTATTTTAAAGCAATAAATCTAGTCAGTTTGATAACATAGTTTGTGTTTATAATTTTGGAAGTTTTTAATCTGTTTATTTTATTTTGAAAACCAGGTAAGCACTGTTAATATGCTTAGGCTGGTCTTATTACTAGGTCCTGAGGATGGAAGAATGTTTCTAGGTTTGATTAAAAAAAAAAATGAACCATGATGTAATTTTAGATTTCTTTTTTTCCTTTAGACATCATTTGGTCACCATTGCAATACAGTGTTTTACTCCCAGATAGCTATACAGCACAAGGGGAAGAGAAGAACAGGTAATTACTTACCGGGTTATTTGGGGGTGCAGAATGTAACTACTGGGATAATTCAAGATTACTATAGATTTCACTGGGGGTCTGTTTTAGCCAGGAAAGCTGATTCAATGTTCTAGTAGCATCAGCTGAACAAAATTTGTAGCCAAATCAACTGTTGACATCATTTGAAATAATAGGAGCAGGGAAGCAGCATAGTTCAGTGGTTAAGATCATGGACTCTAGGGTCAAGTTTCTCGGGTCCAAACCCTGTTTCTCCTATTTGCTAGCTGTGTGACCTTGGGAAAATTCCCTAACTTCTCTGTGCCTTAGTTTCTTCATCTCCAAAATGTGGGTACTAATAATAACTCCCCCAGAGGGTTATATAAGGATTGAATAACTGATTGTGCTTAGAATGATGCTTTACACATAACAAGAACTTTACAAGTATTTGTTAAACAAAGACAAAATAAAATGTAAATCTGCTAGCTCGTCTCTTTGTGCTGGAGAGAAATAGTCAAAGATATCAAGATTTGAGGGCACGGCAGATTCTTTTAGCCTGTAACTTTGGAAGATTCCTTTGAGAACTTCCTGGAAGCCTTCTTGGTAGCTATTCTGAAAGATATGGAATTTGGTGACAGTCTACTGTCCCTAAGAGAGCTGGAAACAATCACAAGCACTCCTGGTATCAGGAACATCAGAAGGAAGACGATCACACAGCACAAAGAAACAGCACGCCAGCCCACTCAGGCTCCCCAAGCCACTGCCAATAACCTCGGGGAACATGGGCACAGAATAAGCAGCTGAAAAAGGATGAAACAGGATTTTATTGCAGTGACAATGAAATCTGGCTGGTGTCAGTTAATATTATCTTTTTCCCTCTTTCCAGGATTCAATGAAAAAATTCCTTTTCAGCAATGAGTGCTTTGTTTTATTAATTATCACTATATACAATTTCCATCTCGTTTTTCTTCAACAGGCAGTGACTGTGGTGAATTGTTCATTTTACAGAACTACCTAGGCATCTTTTCTGGACCTGTGACAAATCTAAAGCCCCGAACAAGCGTCTAAGCCGGGACAAAAATCTCCAAATTGTCTGGAAAACAGAAGGTATTATGTCCTCTGAGCCAAATTTCAGCCACAAAACCGCGGGATCTCTAGCACATACCTTCATCCGGACTTTATTTCAGAGACGGTCTCCTTGGGTCTTCTTGGTCAGGAACAGCCCTTGCAGAGGAGTTTGGAGAATGCCATAAACCACCAGGGAAGCTTGGGAACACATCCATATCTGTCCTCTGCCTTCCCCTTGGCTCAGAGCCTGCTTCCTGGTAGGAAGACAAGATGACGCTGTGCAGGGTTGACTGTTAAACCATCTTCCCGCCCCCAGCCCCACTCTCTTGGTGCCCCTCCCTTCTCCTTTCCAGGGCTCTGGAATGTGTCACATGGGAAATGGATCATGTGGCTCCAGGGGAGAATGTGGCCGGCTTCTCTCTCCCTTCCCCCACTTTTCCTTTCAGGAGCATAGCAGCAGAAATCTCCGACCTGATTGGCTCGGACCAAAAATCTCCACATGAAAAGGGGAAGATTCAACCATCCAAACCTCCAGCCTTCTCCGCTTTCTTTTTTGTTTTATTTTTCATCTGAACATTTTTCCTGGGCATTCAGAATTGCTTGGAAGGGAAGGAAAGAATGCTTTCTCCCCAGGCCGTCTCTTTCTTTCTTATCATCAGTACCCTAACATGGCAAGGTGTTCCCTAACCTCCCTCCAGAGCCCCCTTGGCACATCTGAGACAATCAAGTGTTCAGCACCACGGACAGCATTACACCCCCTTCAGAGCTCCTTAAAGCCATTTGTCTATTTCACTCTCAGGTAAATAAAAATATTTAAAAAATATTTCCCCTGAGGTCTTGTGTCTAAATATACATCAGGCTATATATATGTAAGGCTCCAACCTCCCCTACTATCAACTTACTGTAACCTTATAAACACAAATATAATTTTTACATATCATTAAACCTAAAAAGACTATCCCATGTCTACCTCCCCGGCCCCATCCCACCACCCATCCCCACCCTTTAAACATGCTCCATGTTTTTTGGGGGGAGGGGAAATTCTCATTACACAGTTTACCACATGCCCATATATCTACGCTCACAGGCACAATGACAGACAAACGTAAGATTTCTTGAGTGTGCACGTCCAGATGTCTTTAGTCCCATCCCTAGGCCTCAGGCAGGGCTGAGTTCTCCAACTCAGAGAGGGAGCCCTGCAGAAGCAGTTTTGTGCAGGGTCTTTCCTGCTTCACTGACGTCCCGGTTGCCATGGTAACTGTTGAAGGGGACGATTTCGTTCAGAACCAGTCACCATGGGACCCTGCTGACTAAAGAAAGGAAGAGGGAACAGGACTGAATTGCAGAGGAGGACTTTCAATTAGCATTTGCAGAGCCAAATTTACCTAATGGGCCCTTTCTTTACTGAATTGTTGTTGACCCTAAATCTTGAAAGGCTTCTAGGAATTAGTATGGACACTGCAATGGTAACTCCCTCCATCCTCCACTGCTTCTTTCCTTAAAAATCTATTTAGGTGCAACTAAATGAAAATGCCAGCTTCACAGAACGACTGTGGCATGCCACCACAGAGCATAGGGAAGAACACAGGAAACGTATTTCTTCTCAGGCTGAGGCTTCTGACTTTTATGAGGCCATTTATCTAAGTTTAACAGTCTTAATTTTAGGGAGATACTTTAGAACCACACCTGAACCAGGAACAATTTGTGAATGCTTTACAATTTTATAGCAGGAAAGATAAGTGCCTTGCTGGATTATTTTGAATAAAAATAAATTTGAATAATAAGGTCAATCCCTTGGATAGCATTTGGACTATCCCAAGTCAGGAACTTAAGCTAGCTATGTGCTTGTCTCATTAGGCATGCATATAGCTGATGGTTTCTAACTCAGAATCCTAAGCATGGCAATTCTGAATATTTATTTTGAGGGATAGAAATGCTGACTTTCAATGTGCAATAATGCAAACTCTATAAGAAAACAGGTAGCATACAGGAGCCGGAGTATAATTTCAGGAAACTGAAGCGCCTTCCTGGTCCAACATCCACAGCTTAAGACCTGTTTACATCTTTTATTTTAGGATAAGAATCAAGTTAATTCTAGTTTTTCTATGTAAGACTCACAGAGAAATTCAACTCTGTTAATTCTAATATTTGCCACTTTCAGAAAATTCATTTATCAGGAAAGCTGGATATGTGTTTGAAGAAATTTTTAGAGAGCCAGCCAGATGGTTACTTAGATATCACCTCTCTTCTTTTAGCGAATAATAACAGCAACAACAAAACCGGCTAATATTTATCATGCACCAGGTATTTAGTACATGATGTCATTTAATCCTCCTATCAAACCATGAAACAGGTACTATTATTAACATTCCTGTTTTACAGACGAGGAAACTTACAGAAGATAAGTAAGGTGCCCAAAACCACACCACTGGTTAGTGTGGGAGCTAGGATTGGGGAGTATTTAATATGACTCCAGAGCAGGCATATTATATGATACGAATCTGTATCATGGATAATGGACTCGATCAAAATAACTTGTCAATTTAATGTGACTGATGTGATTCATTACTATGGGCCTCTGACAGAAGAAATCAAAAAGATTTCTTTAAATCATTTGAGATGCAAAAAAAAAAAGAACAAATTATTCATTCTTTTTAGGATGATTGCATGTGTACATCACAGCTTAGTGATAAAATAATAAACACAATTTTATAAGGAATCATAATCTTAAATATTATTAAGGATGGCTATAAAACATGTTATATAATATACTAATTCTGTTAAAAATATTAAATTTATAATCACCAAACTTATTCCCGGCCATTTGGAAGAAAATAGACAGCTGTCTTCTATCCAAACCCATAAAAATCCCATAATACTGTGTAGCTAGGGTAATATTTTGAAAATAATTTATGTGATCCTTTTCCCCTCTGCCTGCCTGGGGAATCGATTTGCCTTGGGGATAGGGAATGTGGCACTGTTCAGAAATTATAAAAGTAATGGAAAGAAAGAAGGAAATAATATTCAGCTTCTGAAATTCAAAATAGGAGTGTACAGCAAGACAATAGGCTTGAAATCCAAGCTACCGTTTTGAAAGCCATTCTCAAAATTCCTTTATTTGTCATCAACCAAATATGGAAGATTTTGCTCACTGTTTGGTACCATAGAGCAGGCCTTCACACTGGGGCAGGCAAAAACTTTCCAAGAGGTCCCAGAGCCTGCAGGCAGTTCTATCGGAATTTCTAGATTCTCAACTTCCACAAGCTGACTCTCCTGAGAACTGGTGCAGTCAAGATGCCATGCTCGTTCTTGGTTCCCATCTAGTAGTTTTTCTTCCCTTTTACCATAGACTGGTGAACCTCTCACCCACCTCTACCTCAAATCCTACAATGGTGAACTGCCTGGATTTTAAAAAGCCCTGGGAAACAAGCAAAGAAACAACTGGAAATATTGAGGATGCTATTGAGATATTAGTGAACTCAATAATTGAGTTAACGCATCCCTTTAAGAAACAAGAGCTTTCCAATTGCTTTAAACAAAACTGAAAGCAAACCACTATCCAATTGTCCACTGAGAGAGTCATTACAACAGTTCTCTTAAAAGGAAGCTCTTTTTACAAAAGAATGACAGCTAATAAAGGCAGAATATAATAGTTATTAGAACACCATTTCTACAGGCCCCAGTGAAATAACTGATTCAGGCAAGGACCACAGCAGGTATTCAAACTATGAGATGAAAAGTTGTTAGGAATAGGTTGCTTGTACGTTATTTACAAACTGCCAAGGGAAATGTGTACTTTTTCAAGGGTGAGACTGGCAGGGGCTCACCATCTTAACCAAGTGACCAAATTTAGCATCACTAACCTAACAGTGGGACAACCTGAAATTAGTGCCTAACAAAAAGCAAGGAGACCTACCCAACATTACTAACGAAGTATTCTTTCTAAAAGCATTTAACCTGAATCTAATCAAACCTCTAGACAGAGTGCCCAGTTGGTGGGGGGGGGGGGAATAAAATAAAATAAAGGCAGGGATTGGAGAAACAGATTAAAGACATCATGAGAAAATAATTGACCAAAATGAGAAAACAAAATATTCTACAAGAGAACTAGTCTGGACTTATCAGAAAGTCAGTGTTGTGAAATAAGAAGGGTGAGCTATTATTAAAGAGACTAAAGAAAACCAATTGCAAAGCATGTAATTTGATGAGATGCTGACTGGGGAGGGAGGGAGAGTTGGTATAAAAAAGCTCTAAAATATTTTGTGGAAATTGGGGAAATTTGTCTTGTGAACTGGATATTAGATGGTATCATGGAATTATTATTTCTATTAGGTGTGAGAAACGAATTGTGGTTAATAAGTGGATTTCCTTATTCTTAGGAGATGCTGAAGTGTTAAGGATAAAGGGTCGAGATGAATGCGAGTTACCCACAAATGGTTCAACAACAACAAAAAATATGTATGCACATAATCAGAAAGGGAAAGTAAATATGGCAAAACATTAACTGGCGAATCTGGGTGAAGAGTGTATGGGTGTTTACTGTACTTACTTTCAATTTGTTGTCTGAATGAAAATAAAAAAGTAATAAATTCTGCTCTGTGGTGAACAAGGACATGCCACATGGAAAGTAAGAGTCTCTCCCTCGGGCTTCCCTGGTGGTGCAGTGGTTGAGAGTCCGCCTGCCGATGCAGGGGACACGGGTCCGTGCCCTGGTCCGGGAAGATCCCACATGCCGTGGAGTGGCTGGGCCCGTGAGCCATGGCCGCTGAGCCTGCAATTCCGGAGCCTGTGCTCTGCAATGGGAGAGGCCACAACAGTGAAGCATGGATGTTCAACTAACAGCCAGGGGGCCTGCCGTGGTCAGGTGAGATGACTCCACAGCCGGGGCCAAGGGGAAACAGAGTCCCCAAGGGGAGGAGGCCGATTCTCCCTGTGGAGATTTGCCTGAAGCCAAAAATGGGCCATGAATTCACCAGCTGCAGGCTTCAGCATTGCAGGCCAGCAGGTTCCCCAGCGCTCAGGCCAGCGAGGGGCATCATGCTGGAACCCTGCCAGTGCACACTGTAGGTCCAGAATGAAGTCAGGGATACCCCCTTCTCAGCAATTCCACAATGATGTGTGTGTTACCCCTCCCCACCCTCCATTCAAATGGATGTTATCTTCAGAGAGGATGACAGGACCTCCTTGGGAGGCATTATGAAAGAGAAAACATTTTTACCCAAAGGAGACTTATACTATTTAAAGAAACCACTTAAGAAATGAAATTGA